CAAAACCACCCGCAAAATTTAGAAAGGCATACTTGTTAAGAGTAACGATTATCAGATTAACCAAGCCAAAGACAAGTGCTTAGTGAGCATGTTATTTGTGGCTTGAATTATTTCCTTGTATTTTTAGGAAATCCATAGTCCCTATACCTAATAGATTTGGGAAAAGAAAACCTATAGTCCTTGTCAAATTGGGAAACCTTTCTCATATATGTTTGGGACCTTTTGGGATCTATATATAAGGGTGGTAGTTGGGGATTCTATAGATTGTATTGTGCTTTTCTTCTCATTCATAGTGGAAAACTCTCTCTGCTTTTGCCCCGAGGATTAGGCTTAGCCGAACCTCGTTAAATCCTTGTGTTGATTTTTCTTCTCTATTTGCTTTGTGTGTGATTGTGTGCTAGTTAACCCACGATATTCCGCAACAATTGGTATCAAAGCAAGGTTCGGGTTTCTCCATATAATCTAGGGTTAAGATGTGTTCATCATCTTCAACAAAGTACGCAGTAGAGAAATTTGACGGAGGTTCTAGTTTCAGTCTATGGAAGATTAGGATGAAATCGTCCCTGGTGTTACAAGGATTATGGAAAGCAATTGATGAGGATTTTCCTGAAGATATGAAAGAGACAAAGAAGGAAGACCTGAAGGAGAGGGCTTTGAGTGCGATCTTCATGAGCGTTACAGATAGCGTTCTTCGCGAAATTGCTGAAGAAACTTCTGCAGAACGGCATGGAAGAAGCTGGAAGATCTGTATTCTAAGAAATCGCTGACAAATCGCCTCTACCTGAAAAAGAGGTTATACAATCTCCGTATGAACGAAGGTACACCAGTTAAAACTCACCTTAATGAGTTTAATTCAATTATAATGGACCTGAAGAATGTGGATATCAAAATTGAGAGTGAGGATCAGGCCTTGATTGTGTTATCCTTTACCACAGTCTTATGATACTTTTACCGATACACTGCTATATGGGAAAGACAGCATTTCACTAGAAGATGTTAGTAATGCACTAAAATCTAAAGAGTTGAAAAAGAGCTTTCCAGACAGCAGAATTGAGGGCGAGGGTCTTGTGATTAGAGGAAGAACACAACAAAAGGACTTTAACAGGAAAAAGTCAACCGCAAGATCAAAGTCTAGAGCAAGGAAGCAACACTGTTATGAGTGCGGGGAGCAAGGTCACTACAAGAGAGATTGTCCTAAGTTGAAGGAGAAAAGAGGGAAGCA